GTTTTAACGATAAGTCTTTGCTCTTGTTAAATGTGATCATGTTTCTGGGGCATGACACATGTATTTCAGATACTGGAAGGAGAGTCATTTCAAAGGCATAGATGGCATTCAGAAGGCTCTGGAAGCAGTGTACGGCTCAGAGAAACCCACCCTGACATCAGCTGCTATTCGCTGGATGTATCATCACTCTCATCTGAAGGTGGGAGCGGTGTTATTTTGGTCTCATTGATATACTATTATAGTTTTTGTTAATATTTTGAATGAGATTTTTTTTTTTTTTTTTTACATTTTCTGTTTTCACTTTAGTTTTAGTGAAAACGTTCTGTTATAATGCTACTGAGCGGTCGTCTTCGGTCTATTAAAACACACAACATATTAAAGTGTCTTTGGTGTTTCCATGTTTTCTACAAAACAAAACCGGAAATCGAGGGGTTATGACGTCATTGGCAGGCGACACGATGACACTATATGCACACGCTTTGTGTCACTAGTTAAAATTGCTTATTTCTCTGGATTTAAACATTCTTCAAAACATTTGGGATAATGTAAGTACACAAGTCTATATATAACACTATTCTAGTGGTTTTTGGATATTTTAATAAAAAAATCTTACATATTGTGCCTCTAATCAAAACAACTCAACTGCAGTTTGATTGATATTACTTGGAATGCACAATAAAAAAAAACGTGATTTCTGAAAAAAAATTAAAATGGAGTTATCTGTTTTTGCAAATGAACTCCTCATATATATATATATATATATATATATATATATATATATATATATATATATATATATACACATACACACATATATATATATGAAAATATACAGTTTTCCTAATACATTCGCATAAAGTTTAGACAAATTTTGGATTCTGATCAGAAAATCGCGTTTTTGGTCCCCTACAGATTTATGGGTTATTTGCTGACATCTTCAGGTTACAAAGGGAATCGCATGCGCTTAAAAGCATGGTAAGTGATATTTGGAAAACCCGCATCGCTATTGTGATAGGGCGAATGATGAACCATGAACTTTCAAATGTCCACCTCCTTTTGCTGACCAATGGCACTCCTCGGCGCGGACCTCTACGTTTACGCACAATTCCGACACTTTCGCGACGGCCCCTCAGCCCTTCTCTCTGCTTTACAGGAACTTTACTATGCAGTGCGCTGTCAGAGCAGGCCTGAGTGCAGCTCACCGCGCATTTCTCCCCAGACTCAGAACATCACGCTTCATTCAACTCCGCAGCATGTCTCAGTCCAAACTCCCCGTCACTCTGCTGGGGTCCATGGCGTTTGGGGGCCGCGCGGACGCACACCTGAGCTCGCGGCTGGTGCAGGTGTTCTTAGAGCGCGGACACAATGAGCTGGACACCGCGTTGATGTACAATGATGGACAGGCGGAGACCATCATAGGGAACATGCAGCTTCCGAAAACAGGTAGAACTCTTCCTAAACTGTTACTAGTGACTCTGATCACCACAGGAATGAGTGGGTAGATCACGTGGCATTGCACGTGACATGTTTATTTGTAAGTTCAAAGAATATGCCGTGTGTGTATACATTAGCATACTTCCATACTGGTCGTACTTTTAGTAGTAGGCCTGTGCATAAAATGTACATTTATGGATCATGTACTTGGATGACCAGTTGCTTTTTTAAAAAGGTATTTCTTATTATTTAAAATTGTAATTATTAATTAAATATAATTTATTATTGTTTAGAATTTTATTTTATTATTTATAAATAGTATTTTAATTATGTAATCGTTATTTATTTAAAATTGTTTATTATTTAAATTTATTATAGTTATACTATTTTATTTTTAATGAATTATTAGTTTAATTCAGAGACAAATCATATTAGATAGCATGTCTGGCAGTGACAAATAAGAAGAAACATGCTGGAAGGAATTAAAAATACCAAGAAACAACAATACAAAATGAGGTACATAATAATAATAATAATAAATGAAATTATATTTTTACTCATGCCTGTGATCGTTAAATGTTTCTTGCGTAATCACATCAGGGTTATTATCATTAAAACTAAAGCCATAAAAAGCGATTTCGTTAACTGAAAAAGAAAAAAAAATTAACTGAATAAAAAAAAGCGTCTGCTAAATGAATGAATACATCTAAATGTAAATAAAATAACTTAAAATTTCATTTTCACTAAACTTGAAATACTAAAATAACTCAAACTGAAATTAAAATGAATAAAACACTTTAGACATTAAAAATATCAATACAAATAATAAAACTTAACACTATAAAATATAAAATCAAAATATTAATACAAAATTGTAATAGCATCTCGATGATACTAAAATAACACTAAATCTAAAGGGGAGTCTAAAAGGGCAGTATATTTTTAATCATGTTATGTGCTTTCATTTCATTTGTCTTTGTCAGTTCGAATTGCGACTAAAGCAAACCCCTGGGAGGGGAAAACACTCAACCCAGAGAGTGTGCGGGATCAGCTGGAAACGTCCCTGAAGAGGCTGCGCACACAATGTGTGGACCTGTTTTACCTGCACGCTCCGGACCACCAGAACCCCATTCAGGACACACTACAGGCCTGCGATGAGCTGCATAAAGAGGTGAATCACACTAGCTCTAGACTTTGTCCGTCAGATGTGCACTTTGACAGATTCCTGGCAATCAGGTGAGTTATTGATAGTTTATGGCTGTCTGACCTAGACAGGCTGTCAGAATTATGCAACTTTGTTGGTGTTTAGGGCAAATTCAAAGAGCTGGGCTTATCAAACTATGCATCATGGGAAGTGGCAGAAATCTACAGCATCTGCAAACACAATGACTGGGTGCTTCCTACTGTATATCAAGTAAGCGGATGGATGGATGTCAGTCTATATAAAAGAACGAATATAAAACTCTTTTAAAATTTGTCAATTAAGTGTTATTTAAGAATTAATGGAAGTTTTGAACAGTGTTGATGTTTTCCTCTGAAGGGCATGTATAATGCAACCACACGTCTAGTGGAGACCGAACTGCTGCCATGTTTGAGATACTTTGGCATCCGTTTCTATGCATACAATCCCCTGGCAGGTAATGCATTCAATATTTGTTTAAATGTATTTGCAAAACATAATAAATTGGTTCCTAATGAATAATAGACCTAAAGTCAACCAGAAGAACATTGTTGACTAAACTGCTATATATATTATGCATTGTTTCTTGTTAGCTTTAATAACAATAGTGTTTCTTCTTGTTTGTTAACCAACATGCTGTTTAATAATATTTACTCTGAATTAAAATAATGACAAAGCATTAAATAAACAAAAAATAAGAACAATAATACATTAAAAAAAGTATATAAAATATCTAAAAAATAATAAACATTAATTTAATAGTTAAATATAATTAAATAATAATTAAACAATACATAGCAATACTACATTCCATCATCTGAAATCATTTGGGATCATTTCTTAGCTAGCATTTATGTTTTTGTACACTTTTTGTATAATTGGTAAACGTAATTGTAAATGACGCACAGTAAATATACACTGATCACAAGTCAAATCATTTTCTTCACATTGCATGTCATATATTTTCTCTCAAACTCTTGAATCCGCTCCTCCCACAGGTGGGCTTCTCACTGGGAAATATCACTATGAAGATAAAGACGGCGCTCAGCCTGCGGGCCGATTCTTCGGGAACAGTTGGGCTGGTGCTTACAGAGACAGGTGCATTCAATTCAGAATTCATGTGTGATATTCGCATTAGAGATTTAATTTTTTTTTTCAGTCCTGTGTGACCTCAGTCTCTAGATCTAGTTAGTTTTAACGATAAGTCTTTGCTCTTGTTAAATGTGATCATGTTTCCGGGGCATGACACATGTATTTCAGATACTGGAAGGAGAGTCATTTCAAAGGCATAGATGGCATTCAGAAGGCTCTGGAAGCAGCGTACGGCTCAGAGAAACCCACCCTGACATCAGCTGCTATTCGCTGGATGTATCATCACTCTCATCTGAAGGTGGGAGCGGTGTTATTTTGGTCTCATTGATATACTATTATAGTTTTTGTTAATATTTTGAATGAGATTTTTTTTTTTTTTTTTTACATTTTCTGTTTTCACTTTAGTTTTAGTGAAAACGTTCTGTTATAATGCTACTGAGCGGTCGTCTTCGGTCTATTAAAACACACAACATATTAAAGTGTCTTTGGTGTTTCCATGTTTTCTACAAAACAAAACCGGAAATCGAGGGGTTATGACGTCATTGGCAGGCGACACGATGACACTATATGCACACGCTTTGTGTCACTAGTTAAAATTGCTTATTTCTCTGGATTTAAACATTCTTCAAAACATTTGGGATAATGTAAGTACACAAGTCTATATATAACACTATTCTAGTGGTTTTTGGATATTTTAATAAAAAAATCTTACATATTGTGCCTCTAATCAAAACAACTCAACTGCAGTTTGATTGATATTACTTGGAATGCACAATAAAAAAAAACGTGATTTCTGAAAAAAAATTAAAATGGAGTTATCTGTTTTTGCAAATGAACTCCTCATATATATATATATATATATATATATATATATATATATATATATATATATATATATACACATACACACATATATATATA